CGGCCGTTTTACTGGCTTAGAAATAATCTCGGCCGACTTCGAAGACGTCGGCCGCCCTAAGTACCATGAACAATACTTAGGGCGGCCGACGTCTTCGAAGTCGGCCGAGATTATTTTTTATATCATAACAATGCTTGGGACAATCGTGGGGTGCCATAAATAATTTCTTATTTTAAAAATCTCGGCCGACTTCGAAGACGTCGGCCGCCCTAAGTACAGTGTGTACGGGATTTGAGTATTGCAATACCAATACTGTGATATTGGTTGCATACTTGCAATGATGACGTCGGGTACGATAATTAATTAACACTCTGTATTGTAGGTGATACTTGGGGCGGCCCAAGTATAACGAACAATACAATAAGTCTAGCCTGCTTGAAATTTATGGAAGAAATAATCTCGGCCGACTTCGAAGACGTCGGCCGCCCTAAGTATTGTTCCTGGTACTTGGAGCTGCCGAGATTATTTCTTATATATTAATTCTTATAAATTGGAATTAGTTAAGCACAAAAAAAAGTTTTTTTTAAGTTTCCAAGGTGATAACATTATTATATATAAAATTTTATTTTATATAATATAATATTAATTGTTTTCATACTAATCATAGTGGTGCCTCCAGCAATAGCAGCTTTGGTCCCTTGATAAAAGTCGTCGACGGAGGTCGCCCCCATAAATTCGAACTCGAAGTGGGTGTGAGGATCGATCCCTCCGGGCATTACGTACTTTCCCCTAGCGTCAATGACTCGAGTACCGCCCGGGATGATCAAATTCCTTCCTATTTGCTTTACACTCCCATCCTCAATGTAGATATCCTCTTCAAAAATTTCATCGTCATTCACAACTTGTCCATTTTTAATTAATAATCGATTTTGAGAACTCTAAAAAATATTAAAATCAAAAAAAAAAAAGAATTGAAACAAAAAAATCTTGATTGAAATTAATTTGAAAATGGGGGGAACGAATGTGACACATAAAGGAAGTATACAATTAACCACAATTGTCGTTATTAAACATTAGATATGGAATTCGTTAGTGTTTATTTGAAACAAACGGTAATTGAGGATTAGTATTCATAGGTGTAAAGTGGCACATGATATCGTAGCTTTTTTTTCTTACGGGAGGAGTAACGCGTTGTACCCGTTGTATTTCCGGAAATAAGCTAACGGATCTATTTTGCATACACTCGTGGAGTTGGGCGCGCCTAATCTTTCTGGGACGAACGTTATGTTATGTAAATGTTATATAATCAAGTTCACCTTTGAATTTTGTTAACCATTTTAGAGATCTATTTGTATTGGTTAACCTTGAATTGTCAAATATGGTATTGTCATTTGAATGTATAATTTATTTATCTTTTTATTTGTGAAATCTAGTGGAAATTATGTTTTAGCAATTAAGATTTAGAAATTTTATGCAATTATATATCATTTATGATGTAGAAATTTCCCCGAGATTTAAAATTATCCTCATAAAACTTGTTCCACTTCAATTTATTGCCCATTATAAGATAACGTTTTATTTACTTTTTACTATTCACTCAAGATATTCAACAAATGTTATTTAGTTCACAATTGTTGAATATTCAAATTAAAATTCTTTATCTTATCTAGTGTAGACGATCGATTTTTTTTTTGCAAATGCAAATGCAGGTTGTTTTCAGACGAAACAGCCTGGGGTAAAGTTTCATTATCTCTCACCCATTCCTCGTCTCGTTTTACGAGCCCCTATTTATGCGTGAAGTGGTTCTTTTATTGTAGAGGAGCATAAAATTATTTTTGCTATAACCACACCCCTCAAAAATTTTAAATAAAACAAATTCATAAAATACATTTTAATTCAACATCACATTTTTATTAATACGCTATGATGTAAGAGATATCGTTTAGCATGTTTAACACATTGCCGGTCAAATAAACATAAACAAATTACGCAAAATGCGTAGTTTTGACCTTTATAAAAATTATCGTTTTTTTTCTTATCAAAAGTTTAATAATACATTGATGGAAATTGAAAAAAATCTGTGCAATTTCTGGATGCCAATGACCGGTTTTAGTGGAAATCAATAGTTTTCTAGTTGGCGAAACGCGCGTCGCTCTTAACTCCCGGCGTTTTTTTTTTCTCGTTACAAATAAAAACGTCTCAGCCGGTGTTTTAATTAAATCGTTACCAAAATGCACCTGCCGAGACGTCCCCTGAGCATCATACCTGCAAGTGAATGGGCACCTTCTTAACTGGAGTACTCATGATCTCTCTTTTTATTATTTTCAATTGGATCGATTTCGCACTCTCCGGGAAATGACGGAAAACGTTTCGGATGTAACGTGTGGCTTATATTATCAATTTTTTCTCTTATTAGACGCTTTACTGCGTTAAGAGTTTATTTATAACGGGACGCACGGTATGTTTTTTTTGACGCCTACTCTGCTATCGACGCAATAGCTACCGTAACACTGAACGAACTACGCGCTACGCCGCTTTGGGTACTCCACGGCATCGACCCAAAATACGGAGCCAGGAAACTTGGCTCCGTGCTCAATATACAGTGCCTCGCAAATGCCATTGCACAATTCTTTACCAAATATTACTGCGTTATTAAAAAATTATTAATTTCATATATTAATAACTCAACTATTTTTAGATCATGCTTTCGCGCTTCAATGAACACTTAATGATAACAATTACGTCAATATTTTAACATATTTTATTTTTGCTCAACTACTATTTAAGATGCACAATATTTTGACGCTTTGCCCTCACGCGACCTCGGCTAATCTCAGACCGGAGAATGTAGGATTTTGCCAAAATAACCCGAGTTGTTGCATTTGATACCATGTGAACCCAAAACTGCATCCTACATCCTTTATTGACCCGAGGTCGCTTGCGGGCGAGGCTCTACAATTAATATATCAACCAAAACATCACCTCGGCTATAAGTGATCTTGACTAAATTTAACGCAGAGGATCTGTCAAATCGCCTAATTAAGCCGAGGTCGCTTGCGGGCGAGGCTCTACAATTAATATTATGTCAACTCAAATTAATCGGCACATAAACTCAGACCAGAGAATGTAGGATTTTGCCAAAATAACCCGAGTTGTTGCATTTGAACCCAAAATTGCTCCCAGATAATCTATCACAATTATTGAGACGAGGTCGCTTGCTCTACAATTAATATCATGTCATCTAAAGCTGATTAACACATTGAATCGCCTGGGCTAAACTTGGAGCAAAGAATCTATGACCAATGTATTACATACGAAAAAAAAAAAGGAAAATTAGCTTACGTTGAGGATGCTTTGAATGTTGTTATCTTGTAAATGATTAATATAATACAATAACCAAGAGTTTTTTTGGAAAATGAATTCTGCGAGATTCGATAATAAAATAATAACATTGCTATCAACTACTTAGAATTGAGAAATTCCAAAAACTAAAATAATTATAATTAATAATCAAATAATTATTTAAACCTAAGTTGATTATGTTAATACAATAATCTTTAAACGTTATTTTAAAACGATCTGTATAATACGCAGATGTTATTATTACAATAAAATAACCAGATGTTTTAGTTGTCGATGTTTGTTTCCAAAGTGTTAAAAAAAACTAAGGTTATTGGAGGGGGCCTAAAAATATATATGTTTCCTTTTAAAAGGCTGGTTTGTATTCGTTTCGTAGAAACATAAAAGGACCAAGCATTGCTGCTCTATGTTCGGGTTTGTAATGATCGCCAAAGAAAGACTATTTATAATTAAATAAATTTATGTATTTCAACGTTTTTGTTCTATTTTGAGGTTATAATAAAATTCTTTTGAAATTCAAAAATTAGTTGAATAATCATGTCATAGATGGCACTCTTAAACATTGTAATACATATTATTCAACAAAATAGAAATATCAAATTAAATGTGAGAATTAAAATTATTGAAGTAATACAATAATAATTATTAATTAATTAATTAATTTTTGTAGTTCTAATTATTTCCGATAGATGTAGTGACTCATCACAGATCTTAACCTAACTTTTCGGAAACTACAAGAAAAAAAAAATTTTTTAAATCCACATTAAACGTCGGTGTATTAAAATTATTAATATCGCAATAATGATTAAAGAATAAACAAAGTGTTATATTCGTTATCTTATCTTTGTTCCATACGGTGGTGGTGAGTTACCTCTTATAATTAACAAAAAACAGTCGGAATTGGTAGTGGTGGGTTATCATCATACAATACCATCCAAAAGTATTGACCTGTCAAACTCAAAACGTGCAGTTTGAGAAGATAAGAACGACACCTAAAGAGCGAGATTTTTGTAGTGTTTTTTCGGTATTCGTGGTCCTCGTATAAAACGTTAACGACCGGACGGTCAAATTTAGAATCGAACGACCGACCCCTCCGACTTTTCCCCCCAGAACATTATTTTGCAAATTATGACTTGCAACTCGTCCCGTTAAAATCCCTGAGTTGTTATCAACTATCTCGCATTTATCGTGCAACCAAACCCGCCCGAAATCCACGTGTAATAACATAAGAAAACGCTGAAACAATCATTTTCATTGCACTGTACAGGTTATATCAAAAAGTAAGTTGCAAAAAAAAAGTTGCATGTAATTTTTGGGTTTCTTCCATTGTTATTAGGTACTTGCTATATTTGGAGATTATTTAAAATGACGAGTGTTACGGAAGAAGATTACCCATTCGAGGGTTTAATGCCTAAGCGGGAAACTGGAGTCTCATCTTTTTTAACAAAATATCCCGAGTATGATGGAAGAGGTACTATTATAGCTATTTTCGATTCTGGTGTTGATCCAGGTGCACCAGGAATGCAAGTAAGTTATCATATATATAATATAAAAAATAATATAATAAAAAAAATAATATTTTTTCTGTGTTGGGTAAAAAAAAATGTATAAAAGTACAAACAGTGTTTATATATATTTGGGCTGCGAATAACAATATGCTTTTGGTTATTTACTCTCAATTTTGACAATTTATTATATGGCACTGTTGGATTAATAATATCTCCAAAGTGTGTATACAGGGTCAGACAAAGAATAGAAATGAATGAAAATAAACATAACCAAGCCTTTGTGCTGAGATATTTCATGTTGTTTATCACATTTACTTCAAAATATCGTAAATTTGGATAATAACTAATAATAATTATGTAATAATAATTAATGTTCGCAAAAATGTGTGATTTTGCAGATGTTAGCCTGAAGCTGGTGAAATTGAGACATTAAAATAATAAGTTCATTAACCCTCCCATGACTGTGCTAATAGATCATATCATGACCAATATTTAGAGAGATTATTTCCCCCATAAACTTCAAGCAGCTCGGCCGACTTCGAAGATGTCGGCCGCCCCACGTATCATGAACAATATTTTATTATTTATTATTACATCTTCGAAGTCGACCGAGATTATTTGCCCCATAAACTTGAAGCAGGGTAGACTTATTGTATTGTTCGTGATATTTGGGGCGGCCGACGTCTTCGAAGTCGGCCGAGATTATTTCTCTTAACCTGCTTGAAATTTATGAAAGAAATAATCTCGGCCGACTTCGAAGACGTCGGCCGCACTAAATATCACGAAAAATTCATTAAATCTACCCTGCTTGAAGTTTATGGGGGAAATAATCTCGGCCGACTTCGAAGACGTCGGCCGCCTCAAGTACCATGAACAATATTTTGGGTTATTTCTTCCATAAATTTCAAGCAGAGTAGAGTTGGTTTCACGCTCCGAATCCCAAATGATACTATTATCAACTTATAAAACTACGAATTCCGTAAATTTTCATATTTTTCTCGATATTCATGCATCAGAGAGTAAAACTGAAAGAAAGCAATATTGTTAAGAATTAAATTTGCTATAACTTTTGTTCCAAAATTTTTTTTGTAGTATGCTCCGAGCCCTGAGTTTTTATAATGAAAAATTGATTAATTTGATTAATTATTACCTTTGCTTGCTTCGTAGACGTTGGCCGCCTCAAGTATTCTTGGTGATATAAGAAATAATCTCCCCAACCCAAGTATCATGAACAATATTTTGGGCGGCCGACGTCTTCGAAGTCGGCCGAGATTATTTCCCCCATAAATTTGAAGCAGGGTAGACTTATTATATTGTTCGTGATATTTGGGGCGGCCGACGTCTTCGAAGTCGGCCGAGATTATTTCTTTTAACCTGCTTGAAATTTATGAAAGAAATAATCTCGGCCGACTTCGAAGACGTCGGCCGCTCCAAGTACCATGAACAATACTTTGGGCGGCCGACATCTTCGAAATCGGCCGAGTTATTTCTTCCATAAATTTCAAGCAGGGTATATTTGGTTTCACGCTCCGAATCCCAAATGATACTATTATTAACTTATAAAACTACGAATTCCGCAAATTTTCATATTTTTCTCGCAGAGCAATATTGTTAAGAATTAAATTTGCTACATCTTTTGTTCTAAAAGTTTTTTTGTAGTATGCTCCTAGCACCGAGTTTTTTGTAATGAAAAATTGATTAATTTGATTAATTATTTCTTACCTTTGCTTGCTTCTATTTCTTCAATAAACTTTTGACAAAATTTGAAACAAATTATTTTTAAAATAATGCATTTTCCTCTATTTTTGAAAATTCTGTTAACAATTAAACATTTCGTGTAATTATTAACACTTATCGGGGTGAACACAATTGGTACTTATTTTCAAATATTTATGTTCATTTGTTTCTGAAATAATAGACCGATTCATTACACATTTATAATAGAGAATTAAAAGATTTTATGTGGCACATTCCTTAAAATTTTTGGTTTAAATACGAGTGAAAAGGCATTGAAAGATTCAGTATTCAAGCAGCTGTGTTATAATATTGGTCAATTCTTACAGAAACACTTCTAAGTGTGAACGGATTTACAATAAGTTCATTAGAAGTGTAGCTATAAAAATAGATCACATATTATTCGTCCTTTCTCTTGTATTTGAATTTATTTTCTGGTCTGTTATCTCAGAAATAAAGGTTATTTGGACATTTGATGTATATCGTCCCTTACGTTAGTATTTTCTACAGTAATAGATCATATACATCAGATGTGTTAATAACTTACTCTACGATTCTTACATTATTAATATTATTTATAGAAAACTACCGAAGGCAAAACAAAAATACTTGAAAGATTCGACTGTAGTGGTTGCGGCGATGTAGATACTTCAATGATTGTCCAAGCCAAAGAAGGTCACATAATCGGTTTGTCCGGTAAAAAACTAAAAATTCCTGACACTTGGAAAAATCCCACCAACAATTACCGCGTGGGTATAAAACGTATATTTGACTTGTACCCCGAGCGATTGAGGGAACGCTACCAAGAAGAAAACAAAGAAAAAAATTGGGAGAATGAACACAAGATACATCTGGCGAAAGCAAACCGAACTTTATCAAAGTTTGATTCAACCGCTACTTTATCGGAATCAAAAAAATTGTTTAAGGAGGACTGCGAAAATACAGTTGAGATGTTAACCAACTTTGATAAAAAATACACTGATTATGGACCCATTTTGGATTGCGTTTTGTTCCATGATGGGGCGAAATGGGTTGCTTGTGTTGATACGACCGAAAAAGGAGATCTTGGAAAGTGTGAATTACTCGGGGAGTACAGTGTCACTCACGAATACGCCACTTTAACAGATACAGATATGTTAAATTATAGTATTAACGTTCATGATGGAGGAAATGTTCTAGAACTAGTCGGTTTATGCTGTATGTATTTATTATCAAATTAAATATTGTATTTAAATTTTTGTTATGGATTTTATAGCTAGTCATGGGACGCATGTAGCATCAATTGCTTCCGCTTATTTTCCCGATCAACCAAAACTCAACGGTGTTGCGCCTGGTGCTCAAATAGTTTCATTAACAATAGGTGATGGACGGCTGGGTTCCATGGAAACTGGTACAGCTTTAGTTCGTGCTATGATTAAGGTTATGGAGTTACAAAAAACTTACCCTATTCATGTGATAAATATGAGTTATGGTGAACATGCACATTGGTCGAATGCTGGGTTAGTATTTTCAGAGCGATTTTAACCTTATTTTTAATTTATTTTAATTTTTAAGCCGTATCGGTGAATTAATGAATGAGGTAGTAAACAAATACGGTGTGGTTTGGGTGGCATCGGCCGGAAATCACGGTCCTGCGTTAAGTACGGTTGGAACACCACCGGATATTAGCCAAGAAACGGTTATAGGTGTCGGGGCATACGTTTCCCCGGAAATGATGATAGCTGAATATTCGATGATGCAAAAACTCCCTGGGATGCCATATACTTGGTCGTCGCGTGGTCCAACCATCGATGGTGGTTGTGGTGTTACAGTGTGCGCCCCAGGTGGCGCTATCACTTCAGTTCCAAACTTCACCTTACGTAATTGTCAATTGTTTAATGGTACCTCGATGGCTTCGCCTCATGTAGCTGGAGCGGTGGCCGTTTTAATTTCCGGTTTGATTCAAAAAAATGTTCCTTATTCGCCGTATTGTGTGAAACGGGCTTTGGAAAATTCGGCGACTAAGTTGGATGATGTCGAACCGTTCGCGCAAGGCCATGGATTGTTGAACGTTGAGAAAGCTTTCGAATTATTACAGATGTTTAAAAATGCTCAAGAAAGAGACGTTCGATTTCATATAACATGTAGCGGCGTTGGTGCTAAAGGGATTTATATAAGAAATAAATTAAATACGAAGATTCATACGTGTGCTGTAAACGTTGAACCGAATTTTAAACACACAACAAATACAGTTGAAAACGTTTCTTCCAAATTAACGTTTAATATGAGATTAAGTTTTGTTTGTGACGCATCCTACATCACATATCCGCCTCATTTAGATTTATCAAACGGACCTAGAGGGTTCATTGTAAAAGTTGATACTTCCGGATTAGCACCTGGTGTTCATAGAACGATGATTGAAGCTTACGACGTTACGTGTGTACAAAAAGGTCCGATATTTCATATTCCCGTCACTATTATTCAACCGGTCGATATCCCGAAACCAAAGTATACGTTGGAATATAAAAAATTATTCAAACCAAACACGATCCATCGACAATTTTTCACCGTTCCGGATTTAGCCACCTGGGCCGTTTTAAGATTGAGAACTTGCGAAACTGAAGCTATGGGGAGCTTCGTTATACATTGTATGCAAATCTTGCCAAAACAAAGCTGTAAAAGCTTAGAAATTAATCGACAATGCGTCGTCACGTGTACGAGCGATTGTGTTCATAGCTTTCCCGTTCGCGGCGGGATCATGCTCGAAGTTGTTGTCGCTAAATATTGGGCTAGTCTTGGCGAGGTGAACGTTGATTATTCCATTTCTTTTCATGGCATAAAACCATCCCAACCTTCCATTGTTATGCAAGCCGCCGATGGTATTCATATGCTTGATGTTACTACCATGCAAGGCGAAGAAGTTTTACCAACTATTACTTTAAAAAATTCCGTTCAAATATTAAGGTAAGATATACTGTTGGAAATAATTCACGGGCACACAATATATAATCTGAACGCGTGAAGATAAATCCATAATATTTGAATAAAGGGAGCATAAAGGTTTGCTATAGACGAGTTTATTCAGTGAGTTTCGAATTTTTCTGCCGCGGCATTGTTGAAGTGGGTGGAATATACCGGTCGTTTTTAGTGTGGGGTGAGGGATCAGTTTGTTGTCGTACTCTGTGCGCAATGGAAGGGCGATCGCGGTATTAAGTTGTGGGTATGCACATTGAGGGTGTATCCGTTCCTTGAAATTACGCGTCATCTCGATCGGTAGTTATCGGCAGTGCAACGGGCATTGCGAGAATGGTCTGAGCTAGGACATACGCACCTTCAGCGGCGTGCGCCGCTCTCCATGTGGGTATAAGTTACACTACTTTAGTACTACTTCCACACCAAATTTCATTGCGCTAGCACACGCGTTCAAATTATACAGGGTGTGCTCGTGAATTATTTCCAAATTAATTTGTTTATTTTTATTTACAAATTGGTTTTTAGACCATCTGATTCTAAAATAGCACCATTAACAGACCGCGATATAATCCCACCAAGTAGACAAATTTACGAATTATGTTTAACTTATCCCTTTCACATAACAAAAGCAACCGAGGTATCTCCAAATAGTCCGTTATTAAGCGACGTTTTATATGAATCGGAATTTGAGTCTCAACTTTGGATGCTATACGATAATAATAAACAATATTTGGGCTCCGGCGATGCGTATCCATCAAAAGTAAGTCTCTCCTTTATTTTGACCCACACAAATCTTACAATTTCTTTCTTAGTACACCATAAAATTGTCCAAAGGCGATTACGTAATAAAAATGCACATTCGCCACGACAAAAAGGAGTATTTAGAAAAGTTATCAGAAACACCGTTGCTGTTAAATCAAAAACTTAGCGCGAATATTATTTTGGACGTTTACGGCAGCCACACTCAAGCGGTTATTGGCGGAAAAAAAGCTGTTTCTGGGCACACGATGCAATCGTCGACTATACCGCTGTATATAGCACCCTTAGCGTCAGATAAATATGTCGCTAAAAGTAATAATCCGGCGCAATATTTAACGGGAATTATAACGTACGCTAAAGATGAATTAGGCAAAAAAGCGGACACATATCCTTTCAAATATATTTTATTTGAAACGGGGAAAAGATCTTCGAATGATAAAAATGTCGATAAGGATAAATCGAAACAAGATGAATATCACGACGCGGAAAGAGATTTAAAAATATTATGGTTATCCAAATTTGGTAAAAATTTTTTATATAGTATTATTTTAAATATTAATTATTTATTTTTAGAAACAAGCTCTGCAACCGACGAATTTTATTTGGATTTATGCAAAGAGTATCCGGATAGTTTAGAAGTACATTCATCGTATTTACAATGTATTGATCCATTTGAACCAAAGAAACAACTTCCGTTTGTGTATAAACCACAATCGCATATGGTTAGCAAATCGAGTGTTCGTAAATATATTGAAGTGTGCAATAAAATTTTAAGTTCAGTTGATCAAGAGAAAATACTTGCTCATTTTGCGATAAAAATTGATCAACGACCGGACGCCGGTCAGATTCGACAACAAATGGAACGCCAAAAAAATATTTTAATAGAAGCGTTGTGTAGAAAAGGAATGTATTTGTGTTTATTTAGTGATTTGAAAGATTCAATGCAATCCGACGGTGACGACGTTTCTCCCGAAGAAATTGTTGATGTTTGGCAAAATTTACAAAAATTTGTTGATCCCACCGATAGTAAAATTACAAACATGTACGTTTTGTATTTTGGTTTATGGCATGCGTGTTATCACAAACATTATGGGCGAATGATAAAATACCTAACTCGAATTCAAGAAGAAAAATCTTTAGAAGAAATTGAAGAAAAAATTATTGAAGTTTGTCATGTGTTAGAGTGGAACCATGTAGTGTTATATCTTGAACGAGGAATTTTATCAAAGTTCCCATTGGCGTATAAGCCATTTTAAAGAAAATTTAAAAAATAACTACGTACCTTAATGTACCTTAATTAACCACTGTGGATTTTGCGAATTACGAATCGTTTCGAAAATGTTCACTTTTTTTTTTGGCCGTTCTCGTGTTCAATAAAACTTAAATAAAAAAAATAAAATAATTATATATGAACCGTTTCCGTTCATATAATTCATTACGACGAGCATTTTTTACGTTAACATTTTTTAAAAGTGCCTTCATTCATTCACCTGCAAACAGTTCTCATTGCCAAATTGTTTCTCTTCTTGCAAATTTAAAAATGATAAATTAAAAAAATAAAAACAAAGCTTCGTTTTCAGTAAAGGTAGTTTTATTATAATCCTTAGAATTTGTATTTTAGGATACCACCAACAGACCAACAGTCAAATTTCTCCCTCCATATATATTTTTTTTTAATAATAATAGGTAAGTAATACATGATTTTAATCATAAATTAAATAAAATATAATTTATAAACAATTTCAAAAAAATATTTGCAGGATGGGTCAAAACATCTCCATGATAAAAGTTAAGGCCCCTCAATTTAGAAATCGATATCTTCGCTCGATAAAAAATAGAACTATGTTTAGGGCGGCCGATGTCTTCGAAGTCGACCGAGATTATTTCTCTTACTCTGCTTGAAATTTATGGAAGAATAATCTCGGCCGACTTCGAAGACGTCGGCCGCCCAATGTATTGCTCATGATACTTGGGGCGGCCGACGTCTTCGAAGTCGGCCGAGATTGTTTCTTTCATGAATTTCAAGCAGGGTAGACTTATTGTATTGTTCGTGATACTTGCGGCGGCCGACGTCTTCGAAGTCGACCGAGATTATTTCTCTTAGCCTGTTTGAAATTTATGGATGAAATAATCTCGGCCGACTTCGAAGACGTCGGCCGCCCCAAGCATCATGAACAATACTTTGGGCGGCCGACGTCTTTGAAGTCGACCAAGATTGTTTCTTCCATAAATTTCAACCAGGGTTGGGTTGGGTTGCGTAGAAACACGGTAGACTTATTGTATTGTTCGTGATACTTGGGGCGGCCGACGTCTTCGAAGTCGGCCGAGATTATTTCTCTTAGCCTGTTTGAAATATATGGAAGAAATAATCTTGGCCGACTTCGAAGATGTCGGCCGCCCCAAGTATTGTTCCTGGTATAAGAAATAATCTCGGCCGACTTCGAAGACGTCGGCCGCCCCAAGCATCATGACTAATACTTTGAGCGGCCGACGTCTTCGAAGTCGGCCGAGATTGTTTCTTCCATAAACTTCAAGCAGGTTATGAGAAATAATCTTGGCCGACTTCGAAGACGTCATAAATTTCAAGCTGGGTAGACTTAGTTTCACATACCATTAACAACTTGTAATGGATCGAATTCAGCAAATTTTCATATTTTTCTCGATATATATGCATCTTAGAGCAAAAGAGCTCTTTCACATTTGCTCTCAGATGTATAAGTATCTAGAAGTGTATTGACAATTTTTTCACTACATTGAGGGGCATCAAAAACACTTCTCATGTGTTTAATGTTATTGACTGCGCATCCTGTTACATCAAACCTTGAAAATATAAGCACACTCAAAAAATATTTATAAACAATTCATATTTTTGAGTTGATTGTAAAATACAATACAATGTATAAATAACGTCGTCTCAGGGAGGTCCTTCCTTTATTAATTAAATTAATAATTAATTAAAAAAAAGTAATAAAATAAGTAGAACATTAATTGGAAGCACTTGATGTTATATTATGAAGATTTTCGTTTCGTAATAATTTTAAATAAGAACCACCCGAGGGTTGCATGCTGATTTGATGGTCTGGAGGTCGTAGACTCTCAGTAAAAAAACGGTTTCAGGTTACGATTCGACCGGGATCGTGTGTAAAAACTATTTAAAAATAAATCACATCATGTCGTATGCAATTTTCATAATAAATGCATTCTTTTTTAAGGCATATTATTATTATTACTATTAGCGTTAGCGACCTACTGTCTTTTAGTCAAACGTCTACCATTATCTCGTCATCTTCTTTTTTTATATCCAAGTCGTTCATTAAAAATGTATGAGGTAGCGACGAAGGTACTTCCGTGTATGGGTCCAACACTAACAGTAAAAAAAAATCAAAAATTATTATGACAAAAAGAATAAAATATGATGTAGGTAAAAGTAAAAGAATAATATATAATTGTTAATTAATAATGTACAATATAATGGAATAAAATTATGTTAGTAGGTGGAGTTCAGGAATATATCTAAATCTCTTTTAACTTAATTTACAAATAAAAATTAAATTTAACAAAATTAAAAAAACTTCAATAATATAGATAAAATCTTGGAAGGTAACATATGGTGATATTCCATTATATTGTATAATATTCTATGTACTGAAGATGAAACATGTCTGCTTTTTATTATATTAGAGAATTTCATCCCATTTATGACAAAAAGAATATTTATGTAGTTACCATTTAATTTGAGGTGTTCATTTAATTGTTCAATTGTCAAATTAGCATCAAGTTCAATTTTGACTGTTTGAAGCATTGGTACATCTTGTTTTGGTTTCGGTAATTGATAAACAGGCCTTGGTTGAACTTGATACGCTTGTGGCTGTTCCTGAGGTTGTGTTACGTCTTGAAATTGCTTTAATATATGTGGCAGGTTAATTACCTAAAATTTTTTTTTTTTAATTTTATTTTTTTATGAATTAAATAACAAAAAGTTACTTTATTTCCATCGGGGGTGTGTGGATTTCGACACCCTCGACATTTACAATCCATACATGCTTTACTTTCAACGTAACAAGGACATCTTTGCCCACAACATGTTAATTTACCAGGTGTTGCTGTTGCATTGCCACAGCGGCAACCTCTTCGTTGTTTTGTTATTACTTTAACAGGGGGTTTTTTAAATATACCCTTTAAAAAAAAAATCATTAATAATTAATTATGTAATAATAATGAAAAATTACCTTTTCAATATTATTATCACGTTTTGGTGCAGAAGTAATTGGTTTAGGTTTGTCTGGTGCATCTTTACCTTTCCTCTTAATTGTAATTTTACTACCCATACCAGTGTACAAGACGGAATATAAAGGTGGTCTATTATTGGTGTTGAACATGTTCTTGGTGTTATCATTCCCTGTGGGTTGTAGAGTTTGTGTAGATGAATTGGTGTATATACAAGGTAGGATATTAATTTCTGATTTTGATAGGCCAACATTGCAACGATACTCATCTTGAAATGAGGCGCCTTCTTTTATTAGAAACATTAGGTTGCTGGCGCCTCTTTCAACGCCTGATTGTGTGTGACTATTAGCAGCCAATTCCAAGCATTTATAAATATCAGATGCAAGCAATCGCAGGCACATTTTCTTGTAACACTGCAGCAGTGTCCTTAGCTGCCTGTTATCGCTATAATCATCACAGTCTTTACACCATGAGCATGCTGGTTTTATTCTTTTTCTACCACCTTGACATTTTCGACAGAGATGATGTTGGCATCTACCAGGTGTTGGACTTAAAGGATCTACGAGGAGATTACCGCAAACGACGCAGGTAAGAGAGTTTCTCAAGTAAGGTACTAATCTGTATAAATCTTGCCAAGAACTTGAATTGGCCGCATCACATCTCAGTATTATTTGCGTTGTTGTCACGTACAAGTTCGTAGAATTCATTTTAGCCATTTTTTGTACTCGAAAACAATCACGGAAGATAAACAAATGTAAGAAATAAATGTAAATATTTTGGTTATACTTTGACAGTTAGTATTATAACCACACAATTTGTTTGAAAATTATGTACACAAGCAGTTTTTCCACTACTTAAACTTTTCATTTCTTAAATTATTTTTGTTACTCAAATATAGATGTAATATAAGCCAAGAGTTCTGTAGTTCCCAGAATCATTAATTTACACTTTAATAATTAGATGGCGTATGGGTGTGAGAATCAAAGGTGTCAAATTTCCAGCGCCATCTAGTTTCTTCAGTTAGCTAACACATGTGCACCGTTTTTTGACAGTAAATTTGACAGTATTCTGACAGTTTCAGTTTGTTGTAAGAAACAAAGCCATTTATTTACAAATTTTACAAGTTACATTTGCAAAAGACACTTTTGTAACATATATACACACAAAAAACATTGATTACCGTGATTATTAGAGCCCGATCAATACGGAGATGTCAAGATACAAGTAAAAGGCGTGCTTTAAAGCTCTCATCCTGCGACAAACGGCAGCATCTTGCGTTTAAGTGAAAATTAATCAAAAATGTTGGCTTCTACGAGGAGGACGCGATGAATTGGTTCAATTGTTTCGCTTGCAAACAAAAAACGGTCGACAACGTAAAATCGTTGGATTTTAGCAGGACTTCGCTCAACGAAGTTCCTGGAGACATATTTCAATATGAACGAACGTTAGAAAATTTGTATTTGGATGGAAATAAGGTTTGTATATACAGGGTGGTTTAGTTTTTAATCGGGAAACTCGTTTGTTTTCAAGCTGAGCTGTCAAAATTGAGCCAAAAATTTACACTTTATCTTTTATTTTATTTAAGTAAACCATAAAATTTCAAACTTTGTATGTATTTATTACTGATTAATACCTTATTTTCAACCATTCCTTAAACTTCCCTAGCGCTATCTAAGGGGATGAAATTCACAGCCCCTTTGATTTTTTTATCACAACTTTTTACCCCCATGGAATAATAACATAAAAAAATATGCGCTGTAAAGCTCATTCTTTAGTGCTACTTTTTTGTCTCTTTAGTATTTTCCTTAAAGTTAATAGTTTCTCTGTAAAAAAATAAAGTATCATGGCATGTACCACTGTTTAACTAAATTAATTATAAAAGTTGGCTCTGAGAACTTGTGGTGAATCCTCATAATTGTTGATGATTATTAATCATTTTTGACTGTTATTAAGCAAGAGTATCAATTTTTTAATAATATAAAATTAAAATTTTTGTTAATAAATTTTTTATCTTTAAGGAAAAAACTAAAAAGACCCATATTTTTTTATGTTAATATTCCATGGCGTTAAAAAGTTGTTATAAAAAAATCAAAGGGGTTGTAAATTTTTATGTTTATATAAAAAACTTGTATTATTTTGGCAAGTACTACATCCTAGTAAAGTTTCCTGATTAAAAATTGAACCACCCTGTATTTTATTTATTTATTTGTTAATTATATAATTAATTTTTTAGATTATTGATTTACCAAGAACGTTGTTTCAATGCGAAGAACTCCGTCACTTGGATATTAGCGACAATGAAATTCAAAATATACCGAATTTAATATCAAAATTGGTCAATTTACATACGTTGAATGTAAGCCGTAATTGTACGTAAGAACATCGCAGAACATCGTAGAATATCTTCAAAAATTATTTTTATAGCAACTCATTTTTCTCATTTATTTTTATTTCTTATATTTATTACAGTATAATCCAATTATAATTTGTGGTCAATTTTTAATACACAACATTTTATTCAAATCACTTTTACTAAATCACTTTAGAGATTATCTTCGCAACCGCTTAATAAAAAAAATTGCGGCAAAGTTTGTTGTAAACACTGAACATTTCTACATAACATATGTTTATTCTTCTAATTTTCATATTTTCTCGACATTGATGCATCTGAGAGCAAAAGTGTTCAAGAGCAATGTGTAAAGGGTAAAATTTGCTACAACTTTTGTTCTAAAAGTTTTTCTGTATCATGCTTGGAATACAATTTTTTTCATCAATCAATTGTGAAATGATGAATTCTTAAAATTTTCATTTTTTCGAATTTTTCTCGATATTGATGCAGTTGAGAGCAAAAGTGTCCAACAGCAATGTGTAAAGGGTAAAATTTGCTACAACTTTTGTTCTAAAAGTTTTTCTGTATCATGCTCGGAATATAGTTTTTTTTTCATCAACCAATTGTGAAATGACGAATTCTTGTAATTTTCATATTTTCGAATTTTTCTCGACATTGATGTGACTGAGAGCAAAACTGTTAGAGAACAATGTGTAAAGGGTAAAATTTGCTACAACTTTTATTCTAAAAGTTTTTTTGTATCACGCTCGGAACACAGTTTTTTTTTCATCAAGCAGTTGTGAAATGACGAATTCTTTTAATTTTCATATTTTCGAATTTTTCTCGACATTGATGCAGTTGACATCAAAAGTGTTAGAGAGCAATGTGTAAACGGTAAAATTTGCTACAACTTTTGTTCTAAAAGTTTTTCTGTATCATGCTCGGAATATAGTTTTTTTTTTCATCAACCAATTATGAAATGACGAATTCTTGTAATTTTCATATTTTCGAATTTTTCTCGACATTGATGTGACTGAGAGCAAAACTGTTAGAGAACAATGTGTAAAGGGTAAAATTTGCTACAACTTTTATTCTAAAAGTTTTTTTGTATCACGCTCGGAACACAGTTTTTTTTTCATCAAGCAGTTGTGAAATGACGAATTCTTAAAATTTTCATATTTTCAAATTTTTCTCGACATTGATGCAGTTGATATCAAAAGTGTTAGAGAGCAATGTGTAAACGGTAAAATTTGCTACAACTTTTATTCTAAAAGTTTTTTTGTATCACGCTCGGAATAGTTTTTTTTTTCATCAACCAATTGTGAAACGACGAATTCTTTTAATTTTCATATTTTCAACTTTTTCTCGACATTGATGCAGCTGAGAGCAAAAGTGTTAGAGAGCAATGTGTAAAAGGTAAAATTTGCTACAACTTTTGTACAAAAAGTTTTTCTGCACCATTCTTCTAATTTTAGAATTTTATATTTTTGCGATTTTTGAAAAAGTTTAAACGGATCGGTACTATTTACTTTACGGATATTTAGTCACCATAAAAGTTGCTTCATTATGGTGAAAACCTCATCTGGATATCTCCATCCATTCTCGAATTATAAAAGAAAATGTTAAAACGTTTCCTTAAAACCTTATCCAACATTCTTTCTTGGGTTGATTGACATTTGTAAATAAAACTATCCCTGCATAACATTCCTTAGACTTCAGTGCAAAACTTTTTTTATTATTATATTGAAATTAATTATAAATGGATTATACTGTATCGATTAAACAACCCATAAATTTTTATTAATGATTTAGGTTTAAAATATACGGACGTTCCAAGCGCTATTCACAGATGTCAAAAATTAGCGATTTTCGATATAAGTACAAATACTTTGGAGAAAGTGCCGGAAGGTTTAACGAGTTTAATTAACCTTCGCGAGCTTTATTTGAACGATACTTATATAGAATTTTTGCCGGCGAATTTCGGGCGGCTTTGTAATTTGAAAATTTTGGAATTACGCGACAATAATCTGACAACTTTGCCGAAATCGCTGCGAAGGTTGTCTTCGTTGGTTCGACTTGATTTGAGCAACAATGATTTTGCTGAGATGGTGTGTTTTCAATTTAATTACTTAATTTATCTTAAATAAATAAATTGTAGCCGGAAGTAATTGTGAGCATGTTAAATTTAAAAGAGCTTTGGATAAATGGAAATTGTATATCATCGTTGTGTCCGGGTATTGGGAATTTGCAGAATCTGTTAGATTTTGATGCCTCTAAAAATGATATTGAAAAGATACCGCAAGAAATTGGGCGTTGCGTGAAATTAACAAATCTTATACTTAGTAATAATTTATTGTCTGAAATACCGGAAGTCATTTCGAATTTGAAGTTAATTCAAACGTTGAAATTGGATTATAATTGTCTCGATTCGTTGCCGTATGGTTTGGGGGAATTGGTCAATTTAGAAGAGTTGGACGTCCAAAATAATCGCTTAACATCTTTACCTAGCTCCATTGGATATCTAAGAAAACTTAATTATTTTGTAGCTTCGCATAACTTTTTAGTTTATCTACCTCCAGAAATAGGCAGTTGCGTCTCATTAACCGTACTCAATTTACACAACAACATGCTTAAGAAATTACCTGAAGAAATTGGCCATTTACAAAATTTAACGTCTCTGGGTCTTATTGGGAACAAATTAGAATATTTACCAATACCAGTAGCTAATTTACCGCACTTACGAGCGTTATGGTTAACACAAAATCAAAGTCATCCTTTAGTAAGTTATAAAAGATTTAATTAAAATCAAATTAATTTCTTTTATGTTTAAAGATACCATTACAAACGGAAAAACTTGAAGGAACCAATCAACTAGTATTAACATGTTTCCTTTTGCCACAAATCCAACAAATTCGCGAAGAAAAATTCCTGCCACCACAAAATATTTCCGTACCAAAACGTCACATCGCATTCTCCGAGCCAGGTATACCGAAAGAACTTCCGGTGAGACTCACCCGCGCACCCACACCATATCCAAAAGATTTCCAACGTTTTCAACGTTCGCTCAATAATCAATTAAAACGTAACCGCGAAACCACCGGGAGTATACCACAAATTAAAGAGGCTAAAGTAACACCAATGAAAGAAACGGGTGACGTTTACGACGAAGAAATTGATGACAATCATCATTTAAAACCAGTTTTGGACAATCAGAGGCACGGATTTAACACTGATATAACAAGCTTAGATGGTTCAGATCAATCGAAAGGTTCTTTGGAGTTGCAAGAAAATTTAAGTTGTGTTGCCACCCAACCAAAACAACCACCACCATATCATATAGCAGCTGCATATTCGAAAAACGCGAAATTATTTAACAACTTAGAGGGTTTAAGTGGAGATAAACCAAAAAACTTTACACAAGAATTACCGCAGAATGTCAATGTAACGCAACCCACCCCGTATAATAAAATTAAAGCGCATGTTGATGAAGGGTTTCTAAAAGAATTAAACACGAGATTAATGAACGCTGAAGTTCAAAAAAATAATATTAATTGTGAATCACATCAGTGCAATATGAAACTATTACGTGTTAATTTAACACCTTGTTGTTATGTATTGGGATTTTCTATAACTTATAATGAAAAGGTAATTTATTATTATTATCAATATATAATTACTAATTAATATTTTTAAAGGGTGTTTTTATAAATAAAGTGGATGAGAATGGGAATGCGTTTAAAAAGTTGTTCCCAGGTGATAAAATATTAATGTTGGATAAACAAGATTTAACAAAAATGGAACCCTGGCAGGCTTATAAGACTGTATTGATACAAGGTCCTGAAACGGAATCGTTCTTCATATCTCGATACGAAGGGCACTAATCGTTTATATGTGTACAAATAAAAATTAAAAAAGTAAAATAAAAAAGTACGCTGTTTCGTGTGGCCAATATACAATTTAAAACTAACTACAAAAAAAAAGATAAATAAATCTCCTTGTCGATGTTTTACACGTTTTATGACACGTTTACTAATTATATGTAGAGTTACTACTTATTTCCCGAGGCTGTGAGTTTAACGTAAATTTAAATTAGTTTTTTGTAAAACGAGAAAACACGGAGGTAGCTTTGTATGTATATAGATGAGTTATTTATTGAACGTGAAACGTCTTTTTACAACTCGTTTTCTCTCTTTATTTCTTTTATCCTAAAAAGTATTAAAAATATTTCATTCTAATATTTTTGTAATCGTTTTTATTCTTCGTTTATTATGTAAACATGTTTTAAAAAAATTTTAAATCTTTTTTTTTAATGCCATTTAAACTTTTGTAATAAAAAATTCCTTCTTCTGTAATAAAGTCAAATATGATCATTTAAATGTTTTTTTTTTTCTTATAATAAAAATATTAAATATTCGAAAACAGAAAAAAATACATGGAAGAAATAATCTCGGCCGAATTCAAACATGTCGACCGCCTCAAGTATCATGAACTATTCTTAGAGCGGCCGATGTCTTTGAAATCGGCCGAGGTTATTTCTTATATCACAAAGAGCATTTGGGGCGGCCGACGTCTTCGAAGTCGGCCGAGGTTATTTCTTATATCACAAAGAGCATTTGGGGCGGCCGACGTCTTCGAAGTCGGCCGAGGTTATTTCTTATATCACAAAGAGCATTTGGGGCGGCCGACGTCTTCGAAGTCGGCCGAGGTTATTTCTTAAGTCACGAAAATAGTTGGGGAAGCCGAATAATCTCGGCCGACTTCGAAGACGTCGGCCGCCCCAAGTATTCTTCATGATATAAGAAATAAACTCGGCCGACTTCGAAGACGTCAGCCGCTCTAAGCTGACTCAAGATAACTTGGGGCGGCCGATGTCTTCGAAGTCGGCCGAGGTTATTTCTTATATCACGAAGAGCACTTGAGGCGGCCGACGTCTTCGAAGTCGGCCGAGGTTATTTCTTATGTCACGAAGATAGTTGGGGAAGCCGAATAATCTCGGCCGACTTCGAAGACGTCGGCCGCCCCAAGTATTCTTCATGATATAAGAAATAAACTCGAGGACGTCGGCCGCCCTAAGTATTGTGCATGGGGTGGCCGACATCTTCGAAGTCGGCCAAGATTATTTCTTTTATCACGAACAACACTAAGGGCGGTGGGCGTCGAAGTCAGATATCTACATTCAAGAATTAGAAAATGGTAGTTTACCCAATAAAAAAGTTTTAAATAATAAATTTGATTTTTATTACACATCAAAAGAAACGTCGAAATTATTTAAAAGTACATATATAAGTACTGTAAAGATTATAAATAAAATTAAAAATTTACATAGCCGAATATAAGAAAAAAAGGAAGTTCTAAAACAACATCATTAACAGTCACTAAACGAGACGAAAAAATTGGATGATTACAACGATCAGAGGGGAATAAAGAATAAGTTACAATTACAATTATATCGATACAATAAAATCAAAAATTTACATAGCCGAATATAAGAAAAAAATTTTAAATCATTAATAATGACTAAATCAGACCAAAAAATTGATTGATTATAACGATGGGGGAGAGAATAATCAATAAGTTACAATTACAATTATATCGATATAATTAAAATTCATTTCGACCGAATTAAAATAATAAAAAACATTAAAAAAAAAAAAGACGGGGTACAAATAAGTTATAGCACAGTCCTTACTACAAAAAAGTATTTTTCGTTCATTAAACGAACGCGGTTTTAAAGAAATTCCATACCTATTTACAAAAAGAAAATTGACATAACAATTAAAAAAAAAACACGAACATCTTGGCAGTGTATATGTCGTACGGATGTCATGTTAATTAAACGATCGAGACAACAGAATCAAATCAATAAAAAGAAGAATCTCTTACGATTTCCGTATGCACATTGCACATTGGATATGTACGTATTCTTAAAACCTATTTTGTAATTATGTAATATATATATTTTCTATATATATTTATATTTTATACATCACTAAAAATTCTTTTTTAATTTCGTTTTTTTTTTGCTTGCTTAATATTTTTTTTATAAATCATTTTTTTTGTAATTTTTTTTCGTTTTTTGTTAACATTTCGTCGCCTGCTAAGGTTTAAACTTTACTAAAGGTATATTTTTGGAAGCCAGACATTTATCGCACACCCATTCCGCGTACACTTCCGCCGTTAAAAATTGAAATGCTGTTTCTGTTAAACCTGTACAACCCCTAAACAATAATTAATAAATTAACTATATAAAAAAATGAAATATTTTTATTTATTACCTGTGAAACCAGAAATTGCAACCACTTTCGCACAAAATCGCTTGATCATTGTCGTGCACCTCTTTATGACATATTCCGCATGGATAAATCGGCGGTGCGTTTGGATTTTGTGAATTAAAAACCATGGGTTGATCGGCGGGGTAAACTTTTCCCGCGCTAACTGGCATTGGTTTTGAGTACATGTTATTCATTGGAGTCATCATAAAATTATTATTCATTGGTCCACCTAAATTTGAAGAAAATTTAGTTTATTAAAAGTGTGTTCGCATTCTCATTTTATTTTTATGTACCCATAGGTCCATTCGGAGCATTCATACCCATCGGTCCAGGCATTGGACCATTCATTTGCGGATTCATTCCATTCATAGGTCCTGGCATTGAACCATTATTCATATTTCCCATAGGACTCGACATTGGACCACTTATCGGACCATTTCCTACACCTGGACCAGGCATCATTTGACTCTGCATGCCAGAACCCATATTATTTATAGGACTATGCATCGGACCTATAATTAATAAATAAATTTTTAAATCAAATTTTATTAGATTTACGTAGTTCGTATAAGGCAGAGTGGGGGGTGTCGAAATCGAATATTACAGCGATATAGTCTTAGGTTGCGCTTCGTCATTTTAATTCTTATTTGTCAGTGTTAAGTGGTGAAAAAGATTGTTTTTTAATATACGACAAGAAAGATAGAGCTTTATTAGATGAAAACAACCCAATTATTAATTATCAAGGAAAATCCACGCAATTGATGAGATTTTGAAAATCTCAAATAAATTCTCTGATCATCAGTTTGGAGAACTAATTAAAAGGTAAGATCCTTTCAAATTATTTAAAAATATAAATTAATAGAAAAATGTATATTATAACATGTAAATTAATAATTCAAAACTTGATGTATTTAATTTGAGAACCCAGTTATTGTTTTCACGGGAACACGTGTTCACTAAAATCGCGAAATCGAAACTCATAGATAAGATGGAATTTCAATTCATAATTGCGATAAAGAATTATGAATAATAAAATTTTTTTAAATTTATTAACCATATAATTGTTTCTATTATAACCATTATTTCTTATAATTAGTTGTTAACAAAAGTTGCAGCAAATTTCATTCTTAACAAAATTGCTCTCAAATGCATGAAAAAATATGAAAATTTGATGAATACAAGCTGTTAATGGTAAGCTTGAAATTTATGGAAGAAATAATCTCGGCCGACTTCGAAGACGTCGGCCGCCCCAAGTTATCTTGAGTCCACTTAGTCGACCGAGATTATTTCTTATATGACGAAGATAACTTGGGGCGGCCGACGTCTTCGAAGTCGGCCGAGATTATTTATTCCATAAAGTTGGATTGGCAGAATATCTATAATATGAAAGCTCAGAATATTCTACAACTACCAGCTTATTGCCATTTACGCAAATCTTTTTAATGAATTATTATACTGATTTTGATGAGTTATGGTCCAAATTAAGATTGATTTTGTTATGAGTTAAAAAGTTAGAGAGAAGCTCAGAATATTCTACAACTCCCAGCTTATTTTCATTTAAGCAAACCTTTTTAATGAATCATTATACTGATTTTGATGACTTATGGCCCAAATTAAGATTGATTTTGGGATGAGTTAAAAAGTTAGAGATTCACTTGAAACATGAGGACCCAAGATAACTAATCAAAAAATCATTATAGAGTATTTATGATACATTACTTTTAAAGTAAAACTACATATTTGTTGCTTCATTTAAATAATTTGATGAACACATTATTATAGTAGAAGTTGTGTTATGATTCCTTCTATCCCATTCCATTAGTAATGGTGTTTGTGTGTATTAAGTTATTGCCCACATTAATTAATTAATTTATTTTTCATCTATTATGTGCCAAATCAAAAATTATATACAAAATAGGTAAATAAATAAAATTTAATATAATGTTCTTTTAACCAAAATTACCTGCAATTTGATGCATTGGACCGTTTGGACTATTCATCATATGTGGAGCTATATGATTACCCATAGGTCCATTTAATCTTGGTCCGTTCATTACCATTGGATTAGACATCATGTGAGGATTCTGATGTGCATTAGGACTTGATAATATTGGGGAACCCATTTGTGGACCTAAAAGTAATGTTTATGGTTTATTTAATTTTTTATTAACATTTCTTGTTACTTACCCATAGGTCTACACATCATATTAGGCATCATACCCATTCCCATTGCCATACTTGGTGAATTTCTAACAACATTGGAGGAATTAACAGTGCTGGGACAATCATCAAATGGATTTGATGCAACAATAGTGTCGCCGTAACCAGATAAAGGTGGAGGTAAGAGATCTTGAACGTTTGGAGGAGTCTGTATAGATGGTTGAACATTTTTCCTTCGTTTCTTAGGGTTCGGTGGACCAGCAGATAATTCGCCCCCCAAATTGGGGACGTTCATACGGAACGGCGTGAGATGGCTCATTTTCGTTTTACTTTATCACAGACATTGCTAAACGAACTATCTTTTTTTAACTAATTTTTACATGTGTTCGTTTACGTAGGTAATAGTATTATATGTACAAGTAGGTATTGAATATATATAAATAAAGTCACTATCGCCACGCCGTAAAATGAATGTTTTACATACCGATTAATAAGTGTGGTATTTAATGCCCTTCTAGGCGTTTAATACTTGCCGTTGTTTACATGTGATGCGGCAGTAAACATCTTAGTGCAATAATAAACAAACTGTGTACCATAATATACGACAGCGACATGAAGTTAGTTATCGTTAGTTTTATTACATTTTAGGGCAAATATTTTTATTTAGGGATTTTTAACTTTTACGGTTTCATCCTCGGATATACTTATATGTAAGTATTTACTTCTACAATAGATGGCACTATATTATTTAAATGTATTTTTCATTTTTTTTAGAGTTTCAACATAATAATACTACTTATCTAAAGAGAAGATTCATTTAGCTTAGTTGTTCAGCAGTTGAGTCAGTAAGTAACAATAAAATTTGAGGTCAAATATATTCTTTACTGTTTCTTTTGTGAGTACTTGAGCTACTGCCTCGGCAGCAAAGCTGCTTCTAAACTAACTAACATTCAAGTTTAAACGACTCATTTGAGCTCACATATACGTTTTATTGTTTGTTTTTTAAGTCCTAAAATGTATAAATGAGTCATTTAATATCAAATATACTCTTTATTATTTATTTTATGAGTATTTGAGCTACTGCTTTAGCAGCAAAGCTGCTTCGGCAACTAAATAACACAATCAAGTTTAAATAAAACGTATAAACGACTCATTTGAGGTCACGTATACGTTTTACTGTTTGTTTTTTAAGTCCTTCATCCACTGCCATATACACTGCTAAATAACACAGTCAAGTTTAAACCAAATGTATAAATGACTCATTTAAGGTCAAATATACTTTTTACTGTTTGTTTTATGAGTATATGAGCCACTGCCTCAGTAGCAAAGCTGCCTCGGCAACTAAATAACACAATTAAGTTTAAATAGAACGTATAAACGACCCATTTGAGGTCATGTATACGTTTTACTGCTTGTTTTTAACTCCTTGATCTACTGCCTCAGCAGCAAAGCTGCTTCGGCAACTAAATAACACAGTCAAGTGTAAACAAAACGTATAAATGACTTATTTGAGGTCACATATACGTTTTACTGTTTGTTTTTTAAGTCCTTGATCCACTGCCTCAGCAGCAAAGCTGTCTCGGCAACTAAATAACATAATCAAGTTTAAATAAAATGTATAAATGACTCATTTAAGGTCAAATATACTTTTTACTACTTGTTTATTGAGTAGTTGAGCAAGTGCCTCGGCAGCAAAGCTGCCTCGGCAACTAAGTAACACAGTCGAGTTTAAACAAAATACTTAAATTTCTTATTTAAGGTTAGATATACTCTTTACTGTTTGTTTTATGACTATTTAAGCTACTAAATAACAATCAAGTTTAAACAAAACGTATAAACGACTTATTTGAGGTCACGTATATGCTTTACTGTTTGTTTTTTAAGTCCTCGATTCACTGCCTCAGCAGCAAAGCTGCTTCGGCAACTAAATAACACAGTCAAGTGTAAACAAAATGTATAAATGATTCATTTAATGTGAAATATACTCTTTACTGTTTGTTTTATGAGTATTTGAGCCACTGCCTCAGCAGCAAAGCTGCTTCGGCAACTAAATAAGACAGTCAAGTGTAAACAAAATGTATAAATGACTCATTTAATGTGAAATATACTCTTTACTGTTTGTTTTATGAGTATTTGAGCCACTGTCTCAGCAGCAAAGCTGCCTCGGCAACTAAATAACACAATCAAGTTTAAATAGAACGTATAAATGACTTATTTGAGGTCACGTATATACTTTACTGTATGTTTTTTAAGTCCTTGATCCACTGCTTCAGCAGCAAAGCTGCTTCGGCAACTAAATAACACAGTCAAGTTTAAACAAAATGTATAAATGACTCATTTAAGGCCAAATACACTCTTTACTGTTTGTTTTATGAGTATTTGAGCCACTGCCTCAGCAGCAAAGCTGCTTCGGCAGCTAAATAACACAATCAAGTTTCAATAAAATGTATAAATAACTCATTTAAGGTCAAGTATACTTTTTACTACTTGTTTATTGAGTAGTTGAGCAAGTGCCTCGGCATCAAAGCTGCCTCGACAACTAAATAACACAGTCGAGTTTAAACAAAATATTTAAATTTGTTATTTATGGTTAGATATACTCTTTACTGTTTGTTTTATGAGTATTTGAGCTACTAAATAACAATCAAGTTTAAGCAAAACGTATAATCGACTCATTTGAGGTCATCTATACGTTTTACTGTTTATTTTTTAAGTCCGTGATCCTTGATTTAATAATTTAATTTAATAATGATTTAATAATTGATTAAATAACTCAAATAAGGTCTTTTTAAGAAGATTTAAATAGCGTAGTGCCATCTACCGTGCAATATTCTTTGCTTAAGTAACCGTGGAGTTCTCCTAATCATTATTTAAAAGTTATAGTTTTAAAATCTAGGGATTTTTTCTTTATTACTTAATTTTAATACATATCTTAATTAATTAATATATATCAATAAATTTTCAATAAAAAGATATATAATTAAATTAATTAGGGGAATTACTTTGTATTTAACATTACATTGCCATCTTAAGCTGCTTTAATAATCACAATTATTTATATTTTGTGCATTAATTTATTAACATTTTCCATTAATTCGAGTTAATAATTAAATGCTAAGTAAGAATCTTTAAGAAAAATCAATATTTAGAAATAAATGAATTTCTTGTGTTGCTATCATCTCATTCCTTGTCTAATACAACAAAGTCTGTGGTTACTATTCCATTTAATACACTGTTTAGTGTTTTTATTGACTGTTTACATGAAATGGAAAGTGTGTTATAGAATAAACATTAATCTCGTTAAAATATGTTGAAAGATTCGCCAAATAAACTATAGTAAATAACAAGTTATCTTAAGAAATTAACCGGCAAATGACGTAAACACATCAGGTAACATTTTATAACCTCGAAGATGTATCAAACAGAAACAAATCCAAAAGCATCGCTTAAAGACGTTGATGTTTCAACCTTTTCGCGTTTAATTTATAAGTTTCATTTCCCCTTCGAAGTGTACTAATTAAAATTTTTCGTTAAGATGGAAAATGAGGAAGAACTGGCATCAACAAGTAATGGTATCGAGGAAAGTGGTAGAGGATGTCGAAACAAGAAGAAACAAGTGGACCCCACAATTTGCCCAGTTTGTTGTGTTACTCTTCGTACAACAGAAGTTGATCAACATTTGTCCTGTGAGATCGATAAATTATATAAAATCTCTGTTAAATCGAAGCAAGTCAATGGAAAATGTAGTCACTCATCACCTTCAGACGCCAACGGTACAGAGAATGGTGTTGATAAATGTTGGGAAACTTATCAAAAAGTTCGCTCCAATCGACAGTGTCGCCAGAAGGTGAAATCACGTAAACGTAAATGTGAAGAAGTTATTTGCCCCATTTGTAATAAAGAAACATCTGAAGATATCACTATTCATGTTGAAAAATGTTTGAGACAATCCAGCGAAGAATCAGATGAAAACATCGATGTCGAAGGTTACGAAGAATACGAATGGGCTGGACAATCCCGTGTTAGAGCTACAAGCATGCTACAAGGTGGGGTGAGTTCTTTAGGAACGCCTATAACAACTACCGACGAAGATGAAGATCTTGTGGTTGACGGCGATGATAGTCAAATATACGGTGTTCCTCAGTACTCAGAAAAAGACATTATATTACCAGGGTCGGACCGTGAAAGTGAAGCTTTACGCAAAGCCGTTATTGGTGACAATGAAAACATTGAAAAAGAAGATAAGTGTCAGAAAAACGCTAGTGATAAAGAAGACGTTGAGACGACGGATGATCCAATTTTGGCAGCATTAAAAACGCGTATACGAGAATTAGAAAGTAGGGACAGTTACAAAAACGACGCTTACAAGTGTTTGATTTGTATGGAAAAATACAAGACACCCGTTATTTCAGTTTGTTGCTGGCATGTGCACTGTGAAATCTGTTGGCTACAAACGTTGGGTGCAAAAAAATTATGTCCACAGTGTAATATGATTACATCACCTTCTGATTTAAGACGTATATATATGTGAATAGAACTCAACAGATTTACTATGGTATTAATTTATTACTATTAATTTTTTTTGTTATTGTATTAATTAAAAAAATTAATTGATTTGTATGTTTTAAGCTTCATAAGGTTTTTATTTGAAAATATTTAACATAACAGAATTTGTTATATTATAAGTCATTTGGAGAATTTGTGGATCTAAATGGTCTCATTAAGGATTAAGATAAAATTTTTTTACTAAGAAAGAATTTTATTTCTTGCAAGGTTAAATTCCATTCTAATTAAGTAGTTTCGATTTGATTTCTTTGTCGAACAAATCACATTAAAAAAACAATAGGTAATATCTTTTACGAATTTGGAACAATTGCGGATAATTACTCGGCGATATTACGATATTTCATCAAAAATTTCTAAAAAGAGATTTAATTTTTAGACACAAATCATTTATTTAGGAGATATCTCATCAAAGATATAATCAAAATGATTGTATCTCTACCCAGAACATTTTCAACCCAAGTTTTGGTTTTTGTATCTTGTCCTTTCCATTTTGTTCATTTGAGTTGACCAACTCGTTTTTCGTATTTTTATCACAATTAAGTTCTAGTATTTATTTTATTGTACAGGCTAAAAATTTGCAGTCTTTGTCCATAAATTCTTACAAATACATTAAAATTTCCATTTTTTATGTTATGTAAATCTTAAACTATTCTTCAGTAATCTTATTTATTACTTCATCTTCCTCATTCATTCTCATATTTGAACCCTATACCTCGAATTATAATTCTTCATCGTCATCTCTATGAACTTTCAATTATCTTCTATCCATAAGTATGATTGTGTTGATGACAATGATTTGATACATACCGGATTTGATACATTAACATGAAATCGTCCACTTTGTAATATTCTAGCGCCTCGCCCGCAAGCGACCTCGGCGGAATGAGGGTGAAAGTCTTCTTATAAAAGACTTTGTACTTTCATCAAGGTGTATAAGAGAACAATTTTACTTCAAATCGCCGAGGTCGCTTGCGGGCGAGGCGATAGATTTGATATATCAATACAAACTCATTTTTCGAGAATTATACCGCCTCGCCCGCAAGCGACCTCGACGGAATTAAGGTTAATTTCTTTTTATAAGAGACTTTGTACCCCTAATAAGATATATAACAAACGATTTTGCCTCAAATCGCCGAGGTCGCTTGCGGGCGAGGCGCTAGATTTGATATATTAATACAAAATCATCATTTTTCGAGAATTCTACCGCCTCGCCCGCAAGCGACCTCGGCGGAGTGTGTTTATGTCTTTTTTTAAGAGACTTTGTACCCCTAATAAGAAATATAAGAAACGATTTGGCCTCAAATCGCCAAGGTCGCTTGCGGGCGAGGCGCTGGATTTTATATATCAATACGAATCATTTTTAATCATTTTTCGAAAATTCTACCGCCTCGCCCGCAAGCGACCTCGGCGTAATGAGGGTAAATGTCTTTTTATAAGACACTTTGTACCAATAATAAGATATATAACAAACGATTTTGCCTCAAATCGCCGAGGTCGCTTGCGGGCGAGGCGCTAGATTTGATATATTAATACAAAATCATCATTTTTCGAGAATTCTACCGCCTCGCCCGCAAGCGACCTCGGCGGAGTGTGTTTATGTCTTTTTTTAAGAGACTTTGTACCCCTAATAAGAAATATAAGAAACGATTTGGCCTCAAATCGCCAAGGTCGCTTGCGGGCGAGGCGCTGGATTTTATATATCAATACGAATCATTTTTAATCATTTTTCGAAAATTCTACCGCCTCGCCCGCAAGCGACCTCGGCGTAATGAGGGTAAATGTCTTCTTATAAGACACTTTGTACCAATAATAAGATATATAACAAACGATTTTGTCTCAAATCGCCGAGGTCGCTTGCGGGCGAGGCGCTGGATTTGATATATCAATACAAAATCATCATTTTTCGAGAATTCTACCGCCTCGCCCGCATGCGATTCGGCGGAATGCTTCTCATAAGACACTTTGTACACCTAATAAGGTCGCTTACGGGCGTGACGCTACAATCTAACCACAACATTGTTAATAATGCCATTAAACAACATATATAAGCAGAATCTCGACACCTAGAACACCAAAGCGATTAAATATGTTTGATATGGCACATATAATATTGTCTTTTATCTTGATTTCTTGTTGAAGAAAAAAATCGACCGTTTTTATATAATTTTTTGTTTCAATATAAATATATTTTTGTTATAAATATTTTCAAATGAAAACCTTTTTACAACTACACCGGTGTTTCTTTTTAATTAATAAAAGATTTTGAGCATTCCATTTGTAAAGAATTAATTTAAACTGTTTAAGAGTTTTAAGATAGGATTATTTATTTCTAAGAAGATAAATTATGAAATTTTTCGTCGTGTAGTTGTATTTAGTGATCTGAAATATTGTTTTAAACAATTTATACTGTTCAGGGATAAAAAAAACCACTTGTATAATAAATAAAATGGAATGTGATAATTATAATAAAAATTTTCAATTTATTATTTTGGTTTATTATTTTCTTTTCTTATCGTAAAAGTGAACAATCATCACCTAAACCTAAACAAATCGCCAACACAATCCGATTGGTTTCCTTATTCTTCCGCTGCACTTCGTGAACGTTTGACGCCGTTTACTCCGGCAATAATGGTAAGCTCTTAGCTTATAATTATCCCAAATTAATTACAAAAATTATTATTCTTTTTATTTTATAAAGTAAATTATTTTAAATTCGTTTTATATATTTTCATTTGTTTTATTAGCTTCACTTAATTTTGATATTTGAATTATATATCAAAAATTTTTTTTTCCTCTAATTAATTAATTATCGATTATGACAAAAAATATTATTAACTCATTTTTTATGATCCATACATCGATCAAAACGTCAAAATTTTTGTGCTGATTCTAATTTTCATACTATATAGAAAAATAGTCAATAATTATTGAATTTTTTTTGTTGGAAAGTCAACCGGAGTTGACCCGATATAATTTATTTTTATTGAACCGGAACGATAAGCAAATCGATAAGGTAAACGGTTTGAAGCCCTGTTTGCAACCATAAAACTTCTCGCCCGACGAGTTTATAAAGCTCTCAATAGTCGGGATGCAGAATTCTCCATGTAGCTGTTTGTACAAACTAAGGAGTGACCACATCCTTACAATTTTCTTTTGAACTCAACATATTTTCCATAAATTTTCATTCAAAAACAACCCCAATTAGCTCAGATCAAAATGATACTCATCAATTTAAAAATGTGTATTAATTAATTTTTTGTTGACTTATTATTTAACGTGTTAAGGTAACAAGTAATAAAAAAAGGTAATAATAAAGTGAATTTATGAACTTAGTAGACGTAAATTTGGCGATTAAAAATTTCAATGCTGTTTTTCAAGTCGTGAAACCATTCCCATTTAATGTGTTACCAACTTCATTGTATTCATAAATTTAATTTCAAAAAATATTTTCATGAACGTACCCCAACACAACGTTGGTACGCATACAATTTGACGTTCTATATATATATACGAAATATTTCAACACTCATTTCTCACACTATTTCTATTCTTTTCTATTAGCGTTGTTATTAAATTCCACCCTTTATCTCAAGAATGTTTAGGTATCCCCTCCAACGAACCAGTTATCGCTTTTGCTCGCAAATTTTAATCGAACCATTGTAAAGTTCATTCTCATTTTAACGTTTTGACTTTAAACTTCCTTTCCGAAATCGAAATGTGCGATAATGATGTATTTCAAGGTGATATTCATCAATTCAATTTTGTAAGTCTAATTAAATCTATTTATTTCATGAACGTACTCTAAAATATGATGGTTGCGATTTGATAACATCATTTCTGTTTTTACTTTTCTAATTTTGTCAAACATTTAAACTCAAAAATCGTGTAAGTTTTTAATATTTTTTTACTAAAATGTTGTATATAACGATAAATTTAATAAATACATTCATTAAAACAATATGGCGGCGAATCTGTTTCAATTTGACATTTGCAATTTTTTTTAGATTGTTTAAGCGAATTATTGCTGTAATATTGAGTAAGTTTTAATATTTTTCGTCGTTATTTTGATTTTTTTAATGTTTTAAATGAATATACAACGTTTTATGGAATTAATTCCACTTTATTTCTCGTTTCACGAATTCTAACCTATAAAAATGTATCCATCTGTCAAATTTTCTACTTTTTCTTGCAGGTTTTTTCCGAGGAAATTCAACAAACTGTAAGTTTATATTTTTTGTTATCTTTTAAATGATTTTAAATCATTTCTTTTTGTTTAGGCGAGTGTTGATAACAAGATTGACGTGGATCGAAGTGTAAGTTAATTTTTTTTTAGTTAAATCTTTTTGGTGTTATATCTTTCTTTTTTTATAGTTAAGCGTTTTCCACGAAAGCTATCCACTACGTAACGTAAGTTTTCCTTAGTAGTTTATTCATATGCGTAGTTTTTTAATCGGTTAAGAGCTAGAATGTGGCCCCTCTAACCGTTAGAGGGAGCACATTCCGTTCTTTGGTTGTAAGATATAAAGTGTTTCTTATTTCTTGAAAATAAAAAATATATTTGAGTTATTATTTAATTAATTTGGTGGTATTTCCGCTATCTAGATCGACGAAGATGGTGCTTCCAGAGGTGTGCCTTTTTAACTTCTGAAAGACTATCTTTGTCAATCTGGATAGCATTTTCTATGTTATATTAGAGGCTATCTAGATTGACCAAGCTGGAATCTTATACATTTGGTTTTTCTAATATATGTTTTTCAAATTTTGTTCCACTTATAATTATTTAGATTGACAGTAATGGTGATTTGCAGATACTATCCGTTTTTGTATCTGTGCCACTATTTCTGTTAATCTGGATGGCATTTTTCTCTACCATTATGGTTTGGTTCTATTTTTGTTCAATTTTATTAGTTTAATGTTTGAGATAAATTCTCCATCAATTTAGACGATGTTCTAGATTGATTGAGATAGCTATTTCCAGATATGTACTTTTGCAATATCTCGAAATTGGCATCTCTACTGATCTGAACAACATTCTTTTAGAATTTTTCGTGAATTTTCAGAAATTAAACAAACTAACAATCCAGACGGTGTTCTTGATTGATAGAGGTAGCTTTTTCCAGATATGTACATTTTGTTTATCTGGAACTTGGCATCTCTATTGATCTGAATGCATGCTTACACTTCTTCCAGATAATAAACGCTATCCAGATGGACTAAGATTGTAACCTACAGATGTGTACATATTAATCAGTAGTTGCCGTCTTTGTCAATCTGGGCAGCATATTGCAGATTTGCACCTACCATATAGATGTTTCGTTCCAGATAACACTATCTAGAACGACAGAGAGGGTGATTTGCAGATGTATATTTCTCTATCTGTAATTGCCATCTTTGTCAATCTGGATAGTATATGTTATAGGTCCTAGATGCTATCTAGATCGGCAGAGATAGTGAGTTACCGATGAGTTCTTTTCTATCTGTACTTGCTATCTTTGCCAATCTGGATAGTATATTCTACAGCATAAATATTTCCAGATACGAAACGCTACCTAGATTGACAGAGATAGGGAGTTATCGATGAGTAGCTATCTATCTGTACTTCCCATCTTTGTCAATTTGGACAGTATCTTCCACATTTACATTAATTATTAAAAATTAATATCTAACAAATCACTAAAAAAACAAAAATTTCAAAAATATCTTTATTTTTGAGGATTAGAATGCGTTTTATATCTCAAATTCGACCTCAAACAATCTAGTTTATGTTAAGATATAGAAATAATAGAGTTTGATTGTCAGAATTGTCAGAATTAACCACCTTTATGTATATGCAACCAAATTAGCTGTTCTGATGATTATGTTGCCTGTATATACAAATTATTTTAAATACAAACATTATTTAAAATTGAAAATTTTTATTTTTTGTTGTAGGATTATCGGAATTGGATTGAAGATGTAAGTTTGTGCTTTAATTTATTCGAATTTTCCGTAACATTTCCTTTTTTTGTAATAGTTAGAAAAGCAGCTAATTTCTAATGTAAGTCTTGAATTTTTTAAATTTATGTTTTTTTAATTATGCCCATTTTTAGACGGAAATTATGAGCGATAATCAACCCAATACCCCCGAAGAAATCGTAAGTAAAGGAACACTCAAAAATTAATATCTTAATTGTATTATTTTTTTTTAATTAGATGGATGATAAAAAATCCGAACCCGCAATGGAAGAAGTAAGTTCTTTATAATTCTTTTCGTCACTTATTTACGAAAATTTCTTTACGTATTTAGGACCCAGCTTTAAATTTCGCGACGAAAATCGTCAGCTCAATCATGACTCAAAATAATTTATCGTCTGAATTTCAAATTGCCGGAATTTGCAAAGCCGTTGAAATTGCCAAGAAAGGATTTTACGAATTGAAAACCACCGAAACAATTCTACAAGACATTTACAACGCGGAAATTGCAATTTTCCCTAAACCAAATTCTCAGGATGAGCCTTACAGTCCCAGTGATACCATAGAGACTATTGATCTTACAATATCCGACGATGAAGGTCCGTTAGATTTATCTCACACCATGCCAAAGTTGTCTTTGTTATCACCAGACACATCAAACACATCTCTCCCAGCCGAAGAAAATAATAAAACTGAAACGAACAATATTAATAACCAAAACATATATGAAGACATAAGCGATTTTGAATCAAACCATGAAGAAGAAATCACCGAAAAAGTTGAAGATATAAAAAAAGACGATGAAAATGAAAACACTAAGTTCGAAAGACGCATTGTTGATGTAACCCACTTCAAAAACTTTAATACTAGGTTGGTGAATCATTTGCTTGATCAAACTGTTTACGGATCATACACTGAAGCAAGTGCAGCAATGCGTAGGTTGCAACAAATTACAAATACCCCTTCGAACGCAATAACAGTAATCCACGTTGGCACTAACTGCATGAATTGTGATTATTATAATTATCAAAATCAAGCATACCACAACGACTATACCGATTATTCTAATCATTACAATCAAAATTATTCATTCCATGGTGAATATAACGCAAACATGAATTATCCAGATACGATGAGAAATGATAGTAACGGACAATACTTTTATACAAATTATGATGAGCACACAAGAAGGGCGAATGAAGAGAATTTACCTCAACCTGACTACAACAATCAATTTGATAACAACGAAGAGGAAGGAAATATCGAAAGTGTATCGAAATTTCCTGAAGACCACGGCGAAAAGGATTTTAAAATAGAGGAAGACAAAATTGAAGGTAAATATATTATTATTAAACATAAAAAATCATCCCTTTTTTATTTTTCTACCATTCTAGTTTATGATAAGATATAGAAATAATAAATCATAAATAAAAAATTGGGTTATACAACTTGTTAAGAAAAGTAACAATTTCAAAAAAATCATGTTTTCTTTATTTTTGGGAGTTAGAATGTGTTTTATGTTTCAAATTAAAGCTGAAACATTCTAGTTTATGATAAAGTATAGAAATATTAGGGTTTGATTATAAGAATTTTGAGAAATAAAATCATAACTAAAAAATTAGGTTATATACCTTGTTAGGAAAAGTAAAAATTTCAAAAAAATCATAATTTCTTTATTTTTGGGAGTTAGAATGTGTTTTATGTCTCAAATTAAAGCTGAAATATTCTAGTTTATGATAAAGTATAGAAATATTATTGTTTGATTGTAAGAATTTTCAGAAATAAAATCATAACTAAAAAATTAGATTATATAACTTGTTAAGAAAAGTAAAAGTTTCAAAAAAATCATCTTTTCTTTATTTTTGGGAGTTAGAATGTGTTTTATGTCTCAAATTAAAGCTGAAACATTCTAGTTTATGATAAAGTATAAAAATATTAGGGTTTGATTGAAAGAATTTTCAGAAATAAAATTATAACTAAAAAATTAGGTTATATAACTTGTTAAGAAAAGTAAAAATTTCAAAAAAATCATCTTTTCTTTATTTTTGGGAGTTAGAATGTGTTTTATGTCTCAAATTAAAGCTGAAACATTCTAATTTATGATAAAGTATAGAAATATTAGGGTTTGATTATAAGAATTTTCAGAAATAAACACATAACTAAAAAATTAGGTTATATAACTTGTTAAGAAAAGTAACAATTTCAAAAAAATCATCCTTTCTTTATTTTTGGGAGTTAGAATGTGTTTTATGTCTCAAATTAAAGCTGAAACAGTCTAGTTTATGATAAAGTATAGAAATATTAGGGTTTGATTGTAAGAATTGTCAGAAATAAATTAATAATTAAAAAAATAATCTTATATAACTTGTTAAGAAAAGTAAAAATTTAAAAAAAATCATCCTTTCTTTATTTTTGGGAGTTAGAATGTGTTTTATGTCTTAAATTAAAGCTGAAACATTCTAGTTTATGATAAACTATAAAAATATTAGGTTTTTATTGTAAAAATTTTCAGAAATAAAATCATAAATAAAACATTGCATTATGCAGAAACTTATTATTTCTTGAAATTTATATGATATATGATATAATATATGTTTCTGTTTTAGAAGATGAATTGAAGGAACAGGAATTGCAAGAAGAAAGTCACGAAGAAGAAACTCCCAAATATCATATTTTATGCAATGATGAAACAAATGTAAATGAAAACAAAGATGAAAGTGGAAGCGAAAATCCTGGAGAAACTAGCAGTTTGAGAATGGAAGAGGATGATGAGATGGATGAAGAAGATGAAATGGAAGGCAAAGATGAGATGGATGAAGAAGATGAAATGGAAGGCAAAGATGAGATGGATGAAGAAGATGAGCTAGAAGAAAAAGATGAAATGGATGAAGAAGATGAGGTAGAAGAAAAGGATGTGATGGAAGAAGAAGATGGGTCAGAAAAAGAAGGTAAAATGGAAGGTGAAGAACATAATACCATCGAAATCGAAAATCCTCAAGATGAGATGAAAAGTCTAAGCCCATATAATTATACACTAGAAATCGAAGATAAATATAATGACGACTGGAATGATAACAAAGAAAGTGCAAAACAGGAACATCCAGAAAGTGATCGGTGGGGAGAACAAGGAGAACAAGGATGGACTACTTGGGATATTGAAGAACCAAGCTTAGATGATAACGCAATCGAATGTGAAACCGAAAATCTTGGAGAAAGTACCAATTTACCAGTAGAAGAAAAAAATGAAGTGGATAATGATGAAAAAGAGCTAGAAGAAGAAAATCCGCAATCAAAAAATTATAGTATGGATGAAGAAAATACATATAATGAAGTCGAAGAAGCTACTAATGTTAATAACGATTGTAACGAAGAAAATCCATCATCTGAAGTGGATGAGAAACCTGAAAAAAACTACAATAATGCTGAAATATGTGATGATCGTGGTCGTAGTCGAAGACGTAGTCGCGGACGTGGTCGAGGTAGAGGATTTGGACGTAAAAATAATAATACAAGCAACAATGATGAAATGAAAAGTGCTGAACCACCGCAGAAAAAGAAGAAATCAAAGAAACCACAGCAGATGACACGTCGTGAAATAACTGTAGCTGTTGAAGTCCCAGAAACAACCTATATAACATTAGGGTTACGACCGCGTGGTATTCCGTTATGTTTTGTGCATTCGGGAGAGTTTAGAATTCCAATTTACGATTATGATGAACTTCAAAAAGTTGATAACTTAATTAATAATTATTTAAAACGTATCGCGATTGACATAAATAAACGTTAAATTAGATTTAAGAAAATTTATTACCAAAATGTATTAATGTATACGATATTATTATTTAAGTTTTGTTTAAAGAGTTTGACGTCCTTGCAATGATTTAAAATGTAAGATGAAACGGCGCCGAGAGAAATTGAATAAGTTTAAAGTAATAATTGTCTTGACGTCGCGTTACGCACTCGTTGACATTGAGTCGGTCTGAAGGCCAAACCTGCAGATCTTCCTGGATGTGCACTACATACCAATCTATATTTAATCAATTCTCTCCCGGCCGAAAATAGACGCAAATCAATCTGCTCTTAAAACGATCTGCAGTTAATCCTATTCTGGACGTTTTTATTATTGCTTCCTCAATCTTGTTGACGTCACACTACTTACTATTGTGTTTCAATTTTCGTATTTTTATATAAGAGTTGTTGAATAAAAAGAAAAAAAAAACAGTAACGAGTTTTTGTATTAAATAATCACTGATATCCATCGTTTGAGGAAATAATACTCATTTTTTAGATATTAATCAAAATTTATTGTTGATCGTAAATTAATGGGGATTTTCCATGGACTGGTGCTCAATTGTATTAACTGATTTTTTTAATCGATTTATTGCCACAAATCGATTTGATTTAAAGGAGTTTGAAAAAAATTAAAATTATTATAAAATGAAACTCGGAACTTGCAACCTTGGCATTGATAGACCGCATGGCAACGTTGTAATCTCAATAACAACGATCGTAGTATAGGTTTTTGTATTTAATTTGCGCGACCAATCGCTATCTTTACAACAAACAATTATATCCACGATCACGCATCATATGCCTGACACACACACACACATATATGTATATATAAATATACATATATATATAGGAAGGATAAAGTTTGCCAAATTAATGTTTATTGTTTAGTGCCAGATATTTAAAACTACTAAATTTAAATCACCTTAAATACAATATTTTTTAATTACAATGATTTAATTTTCAACAAAAATATTTCATACAAAACAACCTAATAAATAAATTAAGATTAAAATCTCAAATTATACAACAACCTTGATTTGTCTTCAAAACAAAAAAAAAATAAGATGAAAGAAAAATAGGTTAATTTTTTCTCTTGAGAATTAGATTGGACATTGCTCCTTTGAGTCCAAGGATTTTTTTTTGAAATGAATATTTGCAAATCATTAAAAATAGAGGTAAAAACGGAGGCGACAGCCTGTCTAGCAACCGGAGGCGAAAATATAACAGCAACCACGATAGACGGACGGTCTCTCTGCCATAGTGTATCTGACGTCATGATTATTTTTAGACTCAGTTTTGCATTTCGAGTTGAGAGCTTAACATCAACATACAATTAGCCAAAAACATTTCGAAATATTGAGTTCGTATGGCCCCGTTTATTAAACAAGGGGCCGGACCAGTTTTTATAAAAAAAACTTTTTTGCGAGACGCAATAATACATCAAACTTATATTTACACGGCGTATGATAAGATACCGATGTTTTGTGTACTTAAGTTTGTTTTTTTACGTGATAACAATTTTTTTTACTATTACCTTTTTAAATATAGTCTATAAATAAATATTACATAAGCAATTTGAAATTTATTAGGGTCATTTATTGACGTAAATCAGCCAAAAAAACTCTTTCTATTTTTTGGCTTTTTCCGAATTTTCTTTTTTTGTATTATTTAGGTCAATTTTTTAGTAATTAGCGAAAAAAACATTCGAGGTCCGGCCAAGGAAACTCAAACAACGACAAAAAAATCGTATGAACCTCGACCGATCGATATTGTAGAATTATTTCGACCTTAACGTTTCCGGTAAATTGTGGGACGTTTCTTGGTCGTATGAAAATGTCGTTAATATTTCACACCTATAAAAAGAGAGTATTGTAATCGTGCAAAAATTTAAATTCCACATTTTTTGTAATTACGGTCATATATATTCATAAAAATAGTTTTATTTATATTTTTAATTTGATTAATAGTTGATTTTTCTAAATATTATACGAAATATCTAAAATCACGTCATTAAGATTGATTAAGATCTAAAAAATTATATTGGTACACCTGAAGATGCAGAAATTTAACAGAAATCGGTCAATTGAAAATGAATCTGATGGATCAAGATTGATTCTTGAAAGTATATCTTAATAAAGTAAGTATTATTTGAGATATTTAGGGCGAGATTATTTCTTCCATAAATTTCTCTCTTCCATAAATCTCGGCCGACTTCGAAGACGTCGGCCATCACAAGTATCATGAACAATACAATAAGTCTACCCTGCTGGAAGTTTTGGGAGAAATGATCTCGGCCGACTTCGAAGACGTCGGCCGCAATAAGTATTGTTCCTGATACTTGGGAAGAGAAGTATCATTTGAGATATTTAGGGCGGCCGACGTCTTCGAAGTCGGCCGAGATTATTTTTTCCATAAATTTCCAGCAGATAAGAGAAATAATCTCGGCCGACTTCGAAGACATCGGCCGCCACAAGTATCATGAACAATACAATAAGTCTACCNAACTTGTTAAGAAAAGTAACAATTTCAAAAAAATCATCCTTTCTTTATTTTTGGGAGTTAGAATGTGTTTTATGTCTCAAATTAAAGCTGAAACATTCTAGTTTATGATAAAGTATAGAAATATTAGGGTTTGATTGTAAGAATTTTCAGAAATAAAATCATAACTAAAAAATTAGGTTATATAACTTGTTAAGAAAAGTAACAATTTCAAAGAAATCATAATTTCTTTATTTTTGGGAGTTAGAATGTGTTTTATGTCTCAAATTAAAACTGAAACATTCTAGTTTATGATAAAGTATAGAAATATTAGGGTTTGATTGAAAGAATTATCAGAAATCAAATCATAACTAAAAAATTAGGTTATATAACTTGTTAAGAAAAGTAACAATTTCAAAAAAATCATCCTTTCTTTATTTTTGGGAGTTAGAATGTGTTTTATGTCTCAAATTAAAGCTGAAACATTCTAGTTTATGATAAAGTATAGAAATATTAGGGTTTGATTGTAAGAATTTTCAGAAATCAAATCATAATTAAAAAATTAGGTTATATAACTTGTTAAGAAAAGTAAAAGTTTCAAAAAAATCATACTTTCTTTATTTTTGGGAGTTAGAATGTGTTTTATGTCTCAAATTAAAGCTGAAACATTCTAGTTTATGATAAAGTATAGAAATATTAGAGTTTGATTGTAAGAATTTTCAGAAATAAAATCATAAATAAAAAATTGGGTTATACAACTTGTTAAGAAAAGTAAAGATTTCAAAAAAATCATAATTTCTTTATTTTTGGGAGTTAGAATGTGTTTTATGTCTCAAATTAAAGCTGAAACATTCTAGTTTATGATAAAGTATAGAAATATTAGGGTTTGATTGNTTGTTCATGATATTTGGGGCGGCCGACGTCTTCGAAGTCGGCCGAGATTGTTTCTCCACAAATTTTAAGCAGGTTAAGAGAAATAATCTCGGCCGACTTCGAAGACGTCGGCCGCCACAAGTATCATGAACAGTACAATAAGTCTACCTTTCTGGAAGTTTTGGGAAAAATAATCTCGGCCGACTTCGAAGACGTCGGCCGCCCTAAGTATTGTTCCTAATACTCAAGACGGCCGACATCTTCGAAGTCGGCCGAGATTATTTCTTCCATAAATTTCCAGCAGGTTAAGAGAAATAATCTCGGCCGACTTCGAAGACGTCGGCCATCCTAAGTATTGTTCCTGATACTTGTGGCGGCCGACGTCTTCGAAGTCGGCCGAGACCTGTCAAAGTAAGTTGGAGATCCTGAGATTAAAAAACCTCTCGATTAATCTTTGCAAAAAGTGGTTCCAACAAGATTTTGGCAAAAAAAATGACGTGGGTAAAATTGTAAAAAGTTGTTGAACTTGGAGACTATGTCCTCAATAAATTATTTCTATTAAACAAGTTTTCCAATAAACCAATGAGAATGAGTGAAAAATCATTTTTAAATGTATTATCAACGAAAATATTTGGATATCTGGTATTTAGATAGTAAACACCGAAACATACGACGTAAAAAGGTTAAATTCAACGAATCAAGCATGTTTTGAAAATGTTGACGGTTGTTTTTCTTAACGATTATTTTTTTGTGATCAATTTACTGTAATGGTCAGCGAAATAAGAGGTGCTTTGTTTGTGCGATTTACGCGCAAATAAAATTTTATACTAAAAAAGTTCTTTTATTTCATTTTAACCTACGACAATTTTACTGTTATTTTTAATGAGTCATTTCGAATGAACTATTTTCAAGTGCCTTATGTTAGCAAAATTTCAAAATGCTTTCTTTGTTAAAAAAGATTCTGGAACATTGTGTGTATTTGTTAAAAGAAGTAATTTCTATTTAAATTTATCAATGACTCACTATTGCCAGGTGAAAGTATAGAGGCGGCCACAAACATCCTCAACAAAAAAAGCGAGGAGATACTTTTTTTTTTTAATAACTTTTTTTTTTTAATACTATTTTTTATTAAAGACCTTTTTCGAGTTTACATCACCTATTTAAACGGCGATGATTAAGGTGGACGATAACGGCCCGTTTCGTAATAACAAGCAAACAAGTCGTGATATCATGCTCTAAATAAACGGTTGTTTTTGTTAAAAAAGCTACCCACACAGTTTTGTTTAATTACTATGTTTCTTTATGGTATGTTCGCATATTTTTAAGGTGTCATAAAAATGAAATTTAACATAAATTTGAAAAGCTATAATTTGACCAATTGATTTCCTGTCGTAATATGGTGAAAAGCTATTAGGGTAGGTTTTTCTTGGAAGCAATTAGCTCGGAAAACCGCGTCCAGGCGTAGGGCTTAGGCGTTTTGCGCATAGCATTTTCCCGTGAAAATCAATAACGGCAAAGCGGGTTTCGTTTCCAACGTCCGTTCAGTTAGTAACATCCCAGCCACAGTGTCGTCATGGTATAGTGAATCTTCCCCCTGAGCTGACTATGGCTACTGCCCGGCGGCCATCACATCTCCAATCC